AATCTAAGTGAAATCTTAATACGAATATTTGAATAAATAATTATTCTTGTTTGAACTAGGATTCATTTTTTATTTTTATTTTTATTTTTTAATTCAGACTAGTAAAATGGAACCTCGAAGCGAGTTGAAAAAAAACTTGGTTCGTAACCCTATTCCAGAATGTGTTTTTGATTTTGCTGCTTTATTGCATGATAGTAACTTAAGCAGTGTACAGTTTCATCTGTCTTCGTTTTAGGAATTGTTTTTAAGTCTTGAGGTTTATGTCAATGTTGAATTTTGGTCTGTTTTAGGTAACAGCACCAGGCTTGGAGGAAAGGCTTGGGAAACTAGCACCTGCATATTCTGTAGCTGGTCTAATTGCTCCCTATTTTGTGGACAGGTCAGTGGTGGCTGAATCTTGTTTCTCATATGATACCGAAGGCTAATTCTGACAACTTGAACACATGAGAAAGTTTTCTAATCAGATTTTAGTATTATGAAGATCTTGTTGTTTAAGCTTCTAAACCTAATTATCAACCTGGACAACCCGAAAGTGAAAAAGAAGATTAGCCTAACATCTAATGGGATTGTCATAAAATGTTTTCAGGTATCTCTTTGACAAAAACTGTTTAATCATCCAATGGTCGGGTGATAATCCTAACAGCCTAGCAGGTGCTTGTTCTTTTTTTTTTTTTTTCTTTTTGGTTCTTGCCTTCTATCTTTCATAAGACTCCCTGATAATAATGCTTTTCATTTACTTGTTTTGTACTGCTTGTATATTCTGAAGTCTGCTTATGAAAACACTAGGTTACTCCTTCCTTGGACCTACTTGTAAACTCATTAGGTTATTCCTCCATTGTATCTACTTGTAAACTTAATTAGCTCTCAGGCACATGTACATAATGACTTCTGATGGATTTGGATTAGTTTTTCGGACACTTGAAAATTTAAATGCCTAATAATACCTTTTACAGTTGTAAACATGATCAATTTGTCCTATATAGGTTTAACCCTCAACAGTCCTGGGGATCTGGCAATCAGTCTTGGAACTAGTGACACTGTAAGTTGACTATTCTTCGGGCACCAAAAGCAGCCCTAAGAGATTTCATTGAACAGAGAAAGGGAAAGCGAAGTTTTACCTTTCTGCTTACTCATGTTTGTCCTGAAAAATGTATTTCAGTTGAATTTGATAAAGCCTACTTTTGATTTGTAGCTCTTTGGGATTGCTGCTGAACACAAGCCATGCTTAGAAGGACATGTTTTCCCTAACCCAGTGGACCCAAAAGGTTACATGGTGATGCTCTGCTACAAGAATGGTTCTCTTACCCGTGAAGGTATGGATAAATGACCTAACAAATAGCGAGTCGTATAAAAAGTAACAGAGACCTTGGTTAACTTTATTTCTCCAACTTTGGTAGAAATACGTAATCGGTGTGCTGATAAATCTTGGGATACTTTCAATGCACTGTTACAGCAGACACAACCCTTAAACGGTCAGCACTTAAATTCTGGTTTGTTGCTATGAATCTGGCTGTCATGTTGGTGGCATGTTTCTATTTCTAATGCTTTCTGTTACAGGTGGAAAGATAGGCTTTTATTACAAAGACCATGAAATTATGCCTCCCCTCCCAGGTATGCATCCTTGTTTATCTTGTTGAGAAATGAAAGTTATTGCTGTAATTCCCTAAATTAGGAGATTAGATTCTTTGGTGTCCAACAATATCCATTACTAGTTCTATCATGCTCCCTCCATCGTAGATTATACGGCAAATGCTAGATTTGCTTGGGATGAAAGTTTGATTTGAGATTTGAAAAGGCAAAGGTTTGACACATTTGGTGCATGGCCAACGAGCAAAGTGGCTAGAAGTTATTGGTGTCACAATATTACCTTATAGAGTCAGAAAGTGTAATAAATTTTGGAGAAGATTGTGTCTAGTTTTATGTGTCAAACATTAATGGAATAAAAACTCAACCAAATGTGGTGTGATTGAGTGTGTGGGGTAATAAATTTGGGCAGATTGACAGTAACTTTGTAATTTATCTCCAATGACATAGGTTTTTGTTTCACTGTACTATTGTCCATAGATCTTCTAGACAGTTTCAACAGGCAACGAGAAGTGTGTTGATTACACATTGCACCATCAAGTTTTAGTCTAACTAAAAGATATCCAGCTCTCTCTTTTACTTCCATACTGATTTATTTTTGCCTATTACACCCTAATATGCATGAATACGAATTTCAGTGAAGTGTTTGAACTTTGAAAGGCTTTTAGAATATTATGTAACTAGGAAAAAAAAGCAAAAAGCCAAGAGTGCCTTGTTTGAAACATTTGTGTGTTGTTATGTGTTCTTTCAAATATAATATTTCTTTTGGAAGTTCCTGGATATTAAAGCTATCACGTTGTTCCTAGTTTATAGTCAAGTAAAACTCTGGAAGGGTGAATGGACATGTCCAACTTTATAAAAAAATTACACACTATGTCATTATAACACTCTGTCTGACCCTGAGAGAACCATAATCTGATGCCACTGCCCACTTATTCATACATGTGGTTTATGTAGCAACTATTATGGTTGCAGTTGGCATTCACCGTTACATTCTTGAGAATTTCAATGGGGACACGTTAGATGGTGTAAAAGAACGTGAAGTTGCAGAATTCGATCCTGCCTCTGAGGTTAGTGAACTAGAACTTGGCTATTTAATTAAGTATACCAGGAAGATGCACGTGCCATGCACAGGATGCTTTTCAACTTTTTTGGTGATTTGGAAATATACTTTTTATTGGATTTATAGGTGTAGTATATTCTAGTATTTTATTGCTAGTTTAACAAAAGAGGGTATATTTTATGATAAACCATATAAAATGTGTCAAACTGATTTATAACATTGAATGATATTAATTGAATGCTATGGTTAAATATAAACAAATAAATAGTTTTTCTTGAAAATCCCAAACTTATTATTATTATTATTATTATTATTATTATTATTATTATTATTATTATTATTATTATTAAATTCTTGACTGCTAGCAAAGCTTCCTTTGTCCATGATTTTGCTTATTATGGCATCCTCGTTGCTTGAAATGATGATTATTGTTGTTGTCTTCCTTGAATTATTTTCCTACTGTCTTCATTTTGTTTCCTACATCTTGAAGATCGACTCGAATTTGCTATTATTGTTATTTGTATTACTGTTAGTAACGTAAGGATTTGCCAATAGTGTAGGGTATTTTTGGCACTTCAAAATTTTGTGAAATCACTCTTCCTATAAAGAGAGTTTTAGATAGATATATTGACATATGTTCGCAGTGTAGGACATGCTAGCTTACTTATGGAAATACTTTAATGAAAGCCTCTGCAAATGCATAATAATTAAGGATAAAGTCTTTATGTAGCAGAAATAAATATTGAATTAGCACTGTAACCTACTAAAACAAACTTTTTAACATAAAAATCATCAAGTAAGCATATTCATTACGTGAAATTTAAATTGTTCTCACCTTTGTTACAGCAAGTTATACCAGTTGGAGCCAAGTAGAAGTTGCTCCATATGCACATATTTATAAGTTTAAACTTTTACAGAAAGTGTACATAGTCAGAATACCAATGCTTTGTGACCATTTCTTACTCAAGTACCACCTGGACTCAGTGTGCACTCAATTCACTTGAAAACTACGCTTATTAGCAAACATCACCCAATAATTTAATTAGCCTGAACACATCTTAAAAATTTGAACATATGGATCAAGCCTCAATATTCTAAACTAATCTAATCCCAGTAGCATCGTTTATTCTCCTTAACGAACTCGTCAATAAATGAATAATTAATAATTTCATAGTTCCTCTTCGTATTTCCTCAACATAAAACCCAACTGATAATAAAAGATTTTCTCTAGTTAGAATCTAGTAATTTTCAGCACAAAAATTTTGCAGGTCAGAGCATTAATAGAAGGTCAGTTCCTCTCCATGCGAGCTCATGCTGAGAGATTCGGAATGCCTTCTCCAAAACGGATAATTGCTACTGGAGGAGCATCCTCAAACAATAGTATTCTTGGCTCAGTAGCTTCAATTTTTGGGAGCAATGTCTACAAAGTCCAGAGTGCAGGCAAGTACAAGTTTTATTTCATTTTTTATTCATTTATGTTTTTTGGGCAAGTACAATATCTTTTCCTTTGGAATATCCCCTATAGTGTGTTATCTTGCACTTTGTCCACTCGTCTTCTTGAATACAGTGGTCTTTTTCTTATATGTTTGTGCTGCTATGACTATTAAACCACTTGTGGATATTGGGTTATTCAGCATCGATTTTTCTTCTCTTTATGAAATATCTTCTTTACAGACTCGGCTTCCATGGGAGCTGCATTGAGAGCTGCTCATGGGTGGTTGTGCAACAAAAAGGGTATTTTTGTTCCAATTTCGAATATGTACATGGATAAGCTGGAGAACACGTCTCTCGACTGCAAGCTTGCCGTGACTGGAGACCAACACCTCCTGTCCAAGTACACTTTACTGATGAAAAAGCGACTAGAAATCGAGAATCGTCTCGTCGAAAAATTAGGACGATTGTGAAATTCGAACTTTTTCCCCTGGGTGTTGGGTGAGAGTGGGGAGTGTAGGCAAGGTTTTGGTCTATTAATCTACTTTTATATTCTTTTTTTGCATTTTGTTAGTTTAGATAATTTTGCAAGAACAATCTTTTGAGAATCTTACTGAGATTTGCATTATGTTTATAAAAGCTACTTATTTTCTAACTACAAGCGTTATACAATAAATGTCGACAGCTATATTCCAACAAGCTTTATGACGTATATTGTAATGATTGCTTCATCCTTGTATCATTAGAAGTTTTTATGTTATATTGTAATGATTGTTTTATCCTAGTATCATTAGAAGTGTTCATAAAAAATTTGTACTAAAAATTGGCCTAGATGGTAACTAGGCGCCACAACTTTTGCCTAAGCGGTCGTTCTAGGCACCTGAACGATGTGAGGTAGGCTTAGGCAGTTGTGAAGCTACTCACACTTAGACCAGCTAGGCGATCTTGGAAATTTTTTAAGTGCATGTATATTTTTTTTTTCAGATATTTAATTACATTAAAAAATAAAAATAATTTTAATTTTTACTCCTGAAATTTACATTGCTTATATAATAAAAATATTAATAATTATATTTCAATTCATACAATAATTATAAATACATTAGATTTTGCATAATTCTTGTATTTGATCATATTAATTAATATATTTGATATAATATATCTTATAGTTTATGTATGATGATAATTTAAATAAATTTACTAATATTTTCCTCACCCCGCTTAGGTGCTAGGCTCCGGTCCACCGAGCGTCTAGTGATTTTTAGAAAATTGACTAAAAATGTAGGATTCAGTTATGCAATGTGTCTTGGGCCATTTGGAAAGAAGTGCTTTCACCTTCATTGTCGATAAGTTCTCTTTAATTCATTATACCCTAAATTTTTTTGTCTCATACATAATGTTTTGAAAATTTGTATTATTAAATTATTAAATTTATCCACATGCTCATTTTTAGTTGCTAGCCTTAAGTATATCAAGGCCTTATATGACAGGCACATAAGGCCCATGAAGAACTCTATATAAATAGTCATTCATGAACTATTCATCCAAAACCTAAGATTCGTAACATTGCATAAGAGTCAAACAACTAGTTT